AGTGGCTTAGGATGACTTATGTATACCTGAAATAGGTAGGTACACGATAGATGATTAGTCGTTCTTAATACCTACCTAACGTTACCTTTTGGGCAACTGGTATAATTAGGCGTGATATATCGACGGCAGAAAAAGAACCGCCGACGACTAATACCCTTTTATTTACAAACAATGTTGTACTTCTATAATCGCAACTATGAAATAGCAAACCTTTAAACAGTTTCTCGCCTTTTACTTCCGGCATACGCGGATGGGCGAAGCTGCCATTGCAAATAAAGACCGCGTCGTAACATTCTGATCGTTCTTCCTTGCGTTTAACGTCCCTAACTGTTACAGTCCATCGATCGTCATGCGGTTCCACTTTTGTAACATACGAGTAATACTAGAAGTAGTACTTTAGGTGATGTTATTGAGAAAACTATTTACCTGAATATGTTTTTCCAGATCAAATTTATCTGCAAAGTCGCGTAAGTATTTCAAAACCAATGGTTGAGTAATATAAGACTCATTGATATCGGACGAATGTCGAAAATTAAGAAATTCCATCATTTCCTTTGGCACGTTCGTTCTGTGATTAAAAAGTAAAAACACTATTACGCAAAAGGACTAGGTACTACTAGCTATTGTACACCGACACCTACATTAAATCCTGGTAAAGGTTTCTAGTAATGGGTAATCCATTTTCGTCTATTCCGTAGTTATCCGTGTACACCCACGTACCTCCAAACTCCCCAGTCTGCTCGAAGACATCGCATTGGTGGCCAGACTCTTTGGCATACCTTAAAGAGATCAGTCCGCACACGCCAGCCCCTATTATTGCTACTTTCCCAGGTTCGCCTAAAAAATAATTAGTAGTTTTCCAGTATTTTTCTAAGCAGAACAGTTTGGAATCAATTTACTTTTCAAAAATGACAAGGGTAAATATATTGCAGAAGAATATCCTTTAATAATAATGTTTTGCAATCATTTTAGTAGACCAGAAAATGTTTCTCGTGCTCCGGTTATCTTTAGAGATACGATGTTTATTTTGAAATAATGTTGCAAAATGTAAAGCGGAATTTTCGAAAGGCAAACATTTTTGAGTTTGTTTCTTTTTAGATTTTTGTAAGAAGTGATTAAAGCCAAATATTTGCCTTCTCATTTTGCAAGCAATATGATACTGTATTTACCTACTGTACGTAGTCATCAAGAGATTTATAATAGTTTCTTATCACACTACGATTTTCTACTTCGTTTTGACTCAATTATTCAATTTGAAAGAGAGTGCATTGTTGTTGGGCTTTTTTTTACAAATGAAGTACGCGATGTACAAATAAACAGACTTCAAAATTTAGTAATGCCTACATTTTTAAAAATAGTTTCCTACCTTTTTGAGTTACCATACTGCTATAAGATCGAATACGAATGAGATACTAGATAATATTGTGATACAATGTTGAACTTGGTCCTATTAAGTCAGATATTTCTTAATTGTAAATTAATTATATTTATTAAGGTCAATATGTGATCTACAAATCTATGTAAAGGACACATAATAATAGTATATACAAAAAAAATGGTAAACAGTAAATCTCTGGGCCACAACAATAATTATACCAAAATTTGTACCAACAATTCAACAAAACTCTGACTATGTCGCCGAATCAAGTTAACACCCCCTCCCCCTGAACAAACAAGTTTACAAACACCAAACGGAGAACAAATTGCCCCACTTAATAAACTGAAAAAATGCCAGAGTTGCTACGCCCCCACGAGTGCCGATAGTATCGAAGACCCTCAGAGGCATCACAAGAGTTTCCTAAAGGAAACGAAATAAAACTCCAATATTGCTGCACTGACACACCGTTCTCGAGCTTCTGCCTAACCTAGATAAAAGGGAGGGTCGGAAGGGGGGCACAACTGCCAGCAACTTGCCCCGAGAGCTCAGAATTCTCACAAAGAGGGGAAATTAATGAAAGCAATAAGAGTAGAAAACGATAAACCAAAGATTAGTTCCAACTCTCTTTAATATCCACACCCGCGTCTCAGCCCCAAGAATGCAGCAAAACAGTTAGCCCTCCCAAAAAAAACCAGGATTAAAATAAAAAAAGGGAGTATCACTACGTTAACGGGATCACAAGCTGAGTAAGGAAAGGGAATAATATGAGAAGGTAGGGTATCTTTGTCAACTCGCACCAACACACAAACACACTTCATTCATCCAGGAGACCGATCCTAAACCCCGACACATCCCAACCCGGTTTCTTACAATGAAGACCAACAACCAACCCAGAACGTATAACGTAAACATTCCTAACCCAGAAGAGTGCGAGAAACCTACCCCAAAAATAAAATAGGATAAAAGCTAAATATGAAAGGCTCTGTTCTTTGAACAGGGAATTGTATTCTAAAGGAAAAGAAACAGTGGATACAACCCCTAAAATGGATCGTCCAACGTCCCCAACCAAGCAACCCAAAAATAAAAGTGACTCGCTAATCTGGATAAAGTCACAAGTTCTTTACATGCCAGGTCCCCTAAACCTACAATCTATATCTTTCAGTTCGAACATCCACGGCAAAACTTTCTGAAAGATAACAAAGGGTCCGATATACTTTGGCGCTAACTTAGCCGAAAATTACCTTCATCAAATGAGTGCCGTCGATATATGTATATAAACAAACTATACTGTATTCATTTTAAGAGGGTAGCGGTACAAAGCATAGGGAAGCTTTGACCTTCAGTGTGATTGGTTAAAACACGAGTCATTATTACGCTGAAACATAAAACGAGTGGCGAATTTTGCAAGCTGGTAGTTTCTGTGGCCATCTAAACTGTTGGAAGTGTCATTAACTGCTAATGTCAAAGATTTATTTCTGTTTGCAGTACTGGATATTTCTACTTTAGAATAATTTGATACCGTTTTATATTTTTCCTGTGTGCTTATCTTCAAACACAGCGCCATCTACTACCTTCTTATAATGAATGAAGTATAGAAACATTTTACATACAGGATGTTCCGACTGCTATTTTCTTTACTTAAACAGAAATTACGTTAACAACATACATTTTTAACTATGAGGTGGCTCGCTCTCATCTTCGGAATTGAAACGACACCTCCTGCAGTTTACACAACAGTATTTGCTTTCGAGTACCTGTCCTGCGCGATATTTTTTGTCCGAAACTTAAAAGAAATTCCGAAGTAAAACTGAATACACTTTGATAGCCTAACGAGCGAATCGAAATCAGACACTCAATGGCAATTATCGCAGATCTACCAGCAACTCGATGGAAAACACAAGACAAGGATCCAAAGAGAATAATGTTTTAGCGTAAAATCGGTATAGGACACATCTTGAAAGAAGTATAGTGCAAATTGGCCATAATGGGAATTGCTGCATATTCAGAATGCTTTTGCAGAAATCAGTTGGGAGCAATGATGGCAAACGGTAGCGTCCACAGGAAGAGTACCAGAGCTCCATTAGAACAACGTCTAGGAGAAACGAATTCCTTAATTACCTCCAAAAATTTGCGCAGGCGATCACAGAAAAGCACACGGAGAAGGGGAGTGTAGTCTTAAAGCCACTGACGTCACATTTAAACTCGATTATGAATAATTCGTAACTATTGTTAAACAAATGGTTTATTTAATGTATAAAGAATTTAACACAATAGCTCTTCCTTATAATTTTCATTGTCCACCAAAACATATTTCCTTGTAGCCTCCCTAATAGGCTTATCCTCAATAAAATGCTTGTATAATTTAATTACAGCTGGTGGGAGCGGTTCTATCTTGGCAAGTTTGGCAAGATCGTTAAGGTACTCGCCAAAATACGAACCAATTTTATGAATATGCCTTTGGGGAATATTATGTCTTCTGAGATTATTTACGTGCTCATTTAACTCCTTAACCATTTCCTCTTTTGAAGGTAGGGCGACTTTCTTTTCCAATGTCGCCAAAGCAAACCTAGCCTGCGGAATTAATTTCGAAAGATAAATAAAATAATGGCTTATCGCCTTGTCACCAAAGAATAGACACTACTTGTTTCTTATGGTAAGGAGACGTGGTGCTATTATTCAACGACAAGAAGTTTTGTATTACCTGAATATCGCACGTCGGAAAGGCACACGTTAGAAACGGTATACCAATGAACAATAAAGTTGGCCTTTCTACGTTAACAATATGCTTGTATAGATTTCTCACCCAGTTATCTTCGACCTTTATCCCGCATTCTTCGGTCAAAAACGGATAGAAATACTTATAACCTGAGAATTGAAGTGCAGTTCCTTTTGTTTCACTTGCCAACTTACCAGTGCAATAGAGAATGACATCTACCTCTTCATCACTATCATCACTAAACATAACCTGATTTTCATTGAGTTTTACAACTGCCGGTTTTGTGGTGACACCATCGGCCAGCCGTATCGTAATGGGCGAATGGTGGCTCATTTTCACCTAAAAGTACTAGAATTTAATTTGGTTTAAGGGTAACTAGGCGTACGCTTCGTGCAGATGATAAAATGTGACTTGCAATGTCGCTCCCAGAGTACGATCCGCCGATTATTAAAACTCGTTTATTTTTGAATTTTTCAGGTGTCCTGTAGTCACGGCTGTGCAACTGCGATCCTTTAAAGATGTCTTGGCCTTCAATGTTTGGGATATGGGGGTGAAAAAAATGTCCGTTGCAAACAAAAACGGCGTCATAACGGAGTGACGTTTCCACTTTGGTCTTGAGGTCCAAGACAGTCAGAGACCATTGAGTGCCCACTGGTGCTACCTTGGTTACGCGTTTATAATACTAAAATCACTATTTACCTCGCACTTTAGTGTAAGCCAGTGTTACCTTAACTTTATTATGTAAATTATATTGATACGCGTAACTTTGTACGTAGTGCAAAACTTCCGGTTGGGTCAGAAAGGATTTTTCGACCGCAGATGGGTAGCGGAAATTGTGGAACTCCATTACTTCTTTGGGCAAATTTGTTCTGTATGGATTACGTTACAAAGTTGAAATTGCAAGTGTTCTACTTACATTAGTCCCTTGTACATTGTTCTATGACTTGGAAAGCCAAATTCGTCCATGTCGGTTTGATCACTGTACACCCAGGTACCTCCTAACTCCCCTGTTTGCTCGAAGACGTCACATTCGTGTCCAGCGTTCAAAGCATACTTCAACGTGACAACACCGGCAATGCCGGCCCCTATGATAACGATCTTCATTGTACGAGGAACCTGGTGCAAAATGCAATAATATTATGGCAAACGTGTGCATCTTTATAATATCGGTCAATTGTGGTTTCTCAACCTCATCCTTTAAAAATATGATTACGTGCCAAGAGTTATTTCCTGGTGTGCGATTTTTAATTTTTCTCCTTAGTTTATTAAAGGTGAATTAATTTCACACCTCGTGAATTTACGAACGTCTATGAGGTGCGTAACCAGTGAGGCTCTGTTTTTTCAAAAAAAAAAATCGCGCTAATGGGAAAGATGCAGTGAACTAGTTTTGCAGCATATCGATGAAAAACCATGTACTTACATAATATTGGTACACCAATGAGTGGTCACAAAAGTACCAATTGCGTTATTACTTACAATCTAACTTTTATTTGCTTGATGAGATACTCGTATGACGTAGGCAACTGTACGATTAGATAGCTACTCATTTAAAGTATTTACATTGTTTTTGATATGGTGATTACTGACTATCGGATTCATTCAAAGCTTTCGCATAGAATTTGTTGAGTAGTTGGTTGGGACAGTTTCGATCTTTCCTTTTTTGAGCACAGGTGTTTTAATGAATCAGTGTAATGCTTAGATTAGGAAAGAGTATCGATACCGCGTATGCCGTACAGCCCATGTATGAATCGTGTTACCTTTTTAAACAAGTCGGTCATTTTATATGTGGCACACATGTCATTTTTAAGTAACATCGTTTTAATGAGTTTTTGCGCTTAAATTGAGATCACGGATGGACTTCTAATTCCATTCCTTCTTTAATTTGCTCTTGCGTAGTTATATTCTTCTATCGTCCAGAGACGATCTGGCCTTCACAGTGGTTGCGTGCAAATTTTTCTCGATATACCTGGGTTTATTTGAACTATTTTCGGTTCCCTCATGAGGTTGACCGTGATCCTTTAGAATCGAATTTTCCAAAATACACAAGGATGCAATGGCAAATGGTGTTAGTAAAATTAAGTACAATGAATTCTGAAGGAGGTGCAAGTAGTTTGACGATTTATTCAAAATCTTTCCGGTGCTCGCGTGAAGGCGGCCCTAATTTAGAATCAGTAACAACTCGGGAAGTAAGTGACTAATCCAAACCATCTTTTGCCGTTCTGGTCTCGGGGCTGTGCTACATCATATAAGAAAGAAACCATAATAAAAAAAGCTTAAACTTGAGGACTAGTAATGGTACATAAGGACAAAGACAAAGTGCGGACAATAGCGTTAATTTCTCTTTGGGAAAGTACGCTAACTTTTTGAAAACAGTTGTCTAAATCAGTGTTACACTCTTCTTGTACAATAAAACTCACTCACTGATATTTAAATGGTTTAGAGCACTATTTTTAGATTATAATCTTTCAGATATTCTACATTGAACAGACAAATGCGCTTATTTATTCCGCAAAAGAACAAAAAGATAATGAAGCAGTGCCTTAATAGACCATGCATCAGAGGCCGTAGGGCGTAGATCCATCTGCGACATAATATGTTGGAAAGTAAGGGTTGTGTTGATAGCAGTAAGGGAAGGAGAGATTTGTGAGAGATTTAAAGTATAAAATGGCAACTTAATAAACTTGTAGTGCCCATGTGGAAGTACCTGATTAATAGGCCAGCAGCCACCCCCTTGGTTTTTTCAGTGACTCAGGATGAATCTACGTGAGTAGGTTGGGTTCGACGAGACGGTCAAGTTTTTCCTCTGTGAAAATTCTTGATAGAGGTAGCTAATGATCCGCGCACGTGATAACGTGGTTCGGTGGTCTGACCAGTGGTGTCCCCCACTTCGAATATCTCGAAGTAATGGGGTCATAATAGTTATTTATGTATTAAGGGCATAAAAGTGAGGTTTATATTCTCGTGGGCGATGAGTTAAAATTTAGAAAGCTCGAGGGCCGATAGATATCTCAGATATATAATGTGCTATGATATGTTAGTAAGACATAACATTTATTAATAATCAGATACAGCTTAGTAAATATTTGTTTAATAAAATGGTCATATTTCCTACAATTTTAGTGGGACGTTTTAACGCTATGGAGAATTTTCACAGATAAAAAACTTCGGCGTTTCGTCGAACCCAACCTATAAGATTCAGCTTGTTATTATTATTAATCACTGAAAAAACCAAGGGGGCGGCTGTTGTACTACAATAATCACTTTATGTTGTGCGGATGTTTTAGATATTATTTCACTCCTAGTCAAATTTAAGCACTCATGGTTCCATCTAGGACGAATTATTCTTAAAACTCCACAATAATATTTACTAATGCATAGCAAATTATCGTTTGATTTTAAGATCATTATTTTATTAAAATTAGTATTCGTATTCCACTCTCTTTACCGATTCTTCTGAAAAACAGAAACTACTCACCAGAGGTACCTCTTCCTTCACTAAACTCTGCCTATCTTCAAGTTTGAAACACGTAACTTGAATTGAGATTAATTTTTTACTATAAGTACTAGTAAGATATCAACGATAACATAGTGTTATACAACAAAATCAACGGTACAATGATCTGTAGTTATATATCTGCTTTTAAAAATTCATTCTGAAATGTAAATTAAGCAATTTATAATCCATCGACACCAATTTTTAGTAATGTTGTGGAATCTAAGTCGTGGTCTTTGGCAATATTTCGTATTAGTCGCACTCACAAGTATATTTTCTTCTACATGCTACGGGGGTTCCTTCTGATCTTGAAAATTACCATCGGTTCCGCCCGGCAAGGCAAACCGTTTTCTTTTCAGGCTGCTTACAAACAAAAATTCAATGCTCCGGCTAACTCAAATCGGTGGGCTTTTAACTCTTTAGAAACTGTGTACCAACTTTAACCTGCCGCCTACCAGACTCCTGACGCAACTCCTACTCCTCTCTTCTTTCCCCTAGTTCTCCGTCAAAGAAATAGGCACATTGGAGCTAAGTAGATAATATATTTACATTATTTATATATACAAACAAAATACCGGGATCTAGCAGTTCTTCTCTCCTACTCATAAAAATGTAGCTTAACAATGACAACTAAACTAAATAAAATCCTACCAGTTTAGACTAATTTACTCAAGGGGTGGCCATCCTCTACAGTTTGAAAATTTTAAGAATAGGTAATTGTTTTTACTCCAGCGTGAGCTGGGACTTCCTTATTTAAATAAACACAGAATTTATCCTACTCTTTGGTAATCGTTCATTGGACTTTAATAGACAATAACATCAAGTTTTACTACAGCTAGATTACCAAAAAGTGGTCTTTTACAGAACGTTACAAATTTAATTAGACTAACCTTTACAATATTTGTACAGCCGATCTTGTGAACTGCTCTTTCCACTGGTACAGGGTGGGTGTGGTGAAACCTGACGCTTAGGTCTCTGTGACTTCCTAGGGGGTTGCTTGAAGTTAACACACGGAAACAAAATCCACGGTGCCTATCCTTCCTCGGAACGAAAGCAAAGTGTAGTATTTAAACGGAATCTTAGTCCAGGAAATTCTTCGCGTGGTGAGTGGGAAACGGCGAGTTGCCAAAGTTTCTACACAGCAGGGGTATTTAATTTAACACAGTGACCCCTACTATTTCTTTCCACCGGCTCTTAGAGTTTATTGACTTTGACTCGCCTGCTGGAGACGGATTTTTAAGTTAGCGGCACGGCAGAACACAATTTTTTATGGTCACGTTCCGACGGCAGGAAATTCCACCTGGGGCTGATCCCGAATATCTGCGCCTTGATGAATAGGGCAGCACTTTGATTTATATATCCTCGGGAAATCACAACGTATCCTAACGCTATTCACTGCATCCAAAGTAAATTGGTGTGAAGCTCAAGTGGTTCGCCTAAATATCACTTGATCGGAACCTGGGTTTTCGTTGCCAAAAAATTCAACGCAAAAAGAGAATAACACTTCTAAACGGGGTGCAAGAAGCACGCAAAATGGGAACAACCGAAATCATCCGTCGGCTCAAAACGCTAAGTGCTCCAAAACGATCGCTCAGGGTACGTGTTGACCCTTTTACGTACTAACCACGAGTCTTTTCAAAACTATCCCCTTCTTCAGAATTCAAATGAGAAAACCACACCCAAATTACCATAAAACAAAAAATGGCTCCCACTAGAAATTCTCCCATTGGTTTAGATAAAAAAAACTTAAACCACTTTAGCTTCGTCATCAGCCTCCACGAAACTGCTGCGTAAGCGAATCTCACGGTTTTCTGCTGACGAATGAAGACCCCTGATCCCTGGGTGGTTGGGTGCTATATCCGCTCCTATTCTCGGAACGAACGACAAAAACTCGCATTACTCATGATGACGTCAATCAACTTCGCAATCTTCCCACGACGAAATTAAATTTGAGCGAGATTAAATCTATCGTACCATAGTCTTGAGCGAACCGAAATGCCCAAACATAAATGATCACAAACTTTCTAACCGGAACAAATAATGAAATATACAGGGTGACCTGCACTATCATGACAAGAAATTTCGAATTTTTTAATGAAATTCGGCGCGAAATAAAACCACTCGTTACATACACTACCTATCTAATTATGTACTATTATAGGAGCAAGTAAGTTTCTGATTTCATCTTTTTCATTTCAGCAAGTGATTCATTATTAATGTTACCTTTGGAGGTAACAGAAGCAGAAGATCTATTAAATGGAAATTAAGGATTTCTTCCCTTACTTCATGTACCTATTGTCTTATTACTATACGAAGTACTAGTGTTGCCAGTTAGGAACTGGTAAACACGGGCCCTTCCATCTGTTTAAACTTGAATTTGTAAGTATATAATTTCATTTAGAATCCTAAAGCTTAACCTCTTTTATTTTACTTTCCGGTATATGTCCAAATGAGCTTTCTTGCACTTTTGATCTTTACATGGTGTGCCGTCGTGCGGACGTACGTAATTTGGCTATTGTAATTACCCAAAGCAAAACACCTCAGCAGAGCTAATATAATAAAAACTAAATTTCAGCTTTTATTGTTCTAGGGAGCAGCATCTCTATTAAATACATACTAAAGGCTCATGGGTGTACATGCGTTTGTACTTTTAGTGGTATTTATGGCACTTCTAATTTCGGATTCACTTCATAGTTCATACAGATATATGGAATTGGTAGCAGCAGTATCCGATTTTTCCATGGACGATACATCAGTATTAGATTTAGCAGAGTTGATAAAATAGTGGTTGAAAGCATTTGCAATGTCAACATTATGACATCGACTCATAGAGATG